TAGTAATACAAATCATTAATGATCTTGGGATTCTGTGATTAGATTTTAGTGATTTTGGGTTTGTTAGAATCAGCTCATTGAAATAAATATTTTAGTAGTTGTTTCATCCAAATTAGTCTAGTAGATCAAAAGATATTTGCTATTGAAAATTATAGAATTTTAATAGTAAATTTTAATATACACAAATATTATAATTTTGATTGGGCAGTAATTATATGATTATAACTTAGTATTTTGTTTATAGTTACACCTCTATACAATCACCAAATTAGGGTGTAACCAACTTGATAATTATATAGAGGTCTGACTGTATTATTTTTTATTTCTTAAGACAATATTAAGTTTGTTTTTATACTAATATTTTTCTTTTTGTTATTAATACTTTCTTTACTAATAATTTCTATTTCTATTTTTTTTAGATAAGTATGCTAAAATTTATTTGCTTTTCTTGTTTCTAAATACTAATTTTATCTTCTTTTTTTTAGGTATTCTTTGGTTTTTTGTCAGAAGAAGAAAAATACATTGAATCTTATAGTTACTACTAAAATGTTATCTGAGAATACAGTGAGTCTGTAGCTCAATCTTATGAATCTTCATACAATGTATTAAGAAACCTATAAAAGATGACATAGTAATTAGCAAAATAAATTCTAAGGCTTCAGTTATTATTCAAACTCTGATTATATAGTTGGTCTTAATATTATTAAATCTCTTAAATTAACCTATTCTCTCTCTTAGAATATCAAACACAAGATTTACTTGGCAAGTTCTCTTACTAAATAACTTAATGACACTTTACTCTTATTCAAAGAGTAATTAGATAATGTAATATTATGATAGGTTATGTTTATTAACTTAGCAAAATATGTTTGGAATTATTAAGTAATTTATATATTAAGAAAGGTTTAGAATTTATGTTATGAGCAAGAAGAATTTATCAATTCAATGATATTTTTTATTAAAAAGCAGAATTACTAGCTTATATACTTGCTGGAAGAATAGGTTTAGTGATAACATTTATTGCTCTTAAAACTATTATAATATGTATAATGAATAAAACCATTAAATTCAATAAAACCTTTATAATGTTTATCTCTCTTATAAATGTTATAATCATTATAAACTCTATAACTCTTAAAACCACTATAATGATTATACAGGTGATAATAGTTAAATTCCTTAAAATCCTTATAACCATTATAACCATTATAACCATTATCCTTTATAATCACAGGTTCCCTATAAAAGTTGAGGATCTATTTAGCATTGAAAAAGTGAAAATTGGTTCTAGGCTAGAACTCGTCTAGTGGTTTGGTTATACAGAGCTTCAGGCTCACTAATCTATACAAATAAACTTAGATAATCCAAAAATCCAACCAAGTGGTAACCCTAGTTTGGATAAGGCTG